GTCTGATGGATAAATCTGGGTTTGGTGGATGCCAGGAGAACGCTACGTACCAGATTGCATAGTGCTAATAGTAAAGTTTGGTGGAGGTGGGATAATGGTCTTGGATTGGAGCTCCAGTGGCCTGCAGAGAGCCTTGACCTCAACCCCACTGAAGACCTTTGAGAAGAATCAAATATCAGTGCCTGACCTCACAGATGCTCTTCTGACTGAATGGAAAAGCCTTCTCAGAAAAGAGAAGGCTGTTATAGCCACCATGGAGGGGTGGGGGGTGCAACTCCATATTAATGCCTAGGGTTTTGGAATGGGATGTCCAACAAGACCATACAGGTGTGATGGGCTGGTGTCCGCATATGTTTGGCCATATAGTGTTATATTGGGCTGATAAAATCAGCTGATATATCATTAAATTTTATATAAGAAAAACACATTCATGAATGTGACCCTATTTTAAACAACAAACATAAACATGTTTAAATAATTGTGCTGTTAAGTTTAAGAACTGGCATATAATCAAACTTGACAGTTTACAACTGACAATCATAGAGTGTCATTAAACATTGTTTAACTAAAACCTCTTAAGTATTAATATGGACTAAATAAAAAAATATAGTGGCTGACAGTATCAGTTATTGGAATTTTTGGCTCCTTAAAATGAATTTTGTTGGCAAAATTTTCATATCGGTCATGAATAATCTGATTCATTCCAAACTTTCAGGTTCAGGAGCTACAGGTTTCATTTTTATTTCAAAAGAAGGTAATGAACAGCCACACATTAACAACATCAACACAAACCGAAACAAAACGAAAATCCACGGCCACAGTGAGACTCCTCAATTCAGGGCCTGGTCAGGCCCTGGTCAGAGCTGAATAAAGTCCTTCACTCTTTAAAATCCTATAATACCTTATACTGCAGTTGGTAAAAGTTTCAGATTCTGTGCAAAAACATGAAAATCTGTTCTTTGTCGTAAGATCCTACACGAGAGAATGGAGTAAAAAAAAAAACAGGACGTTACGGGATATACGGCTATGATAAAGCTGACCTCCCACTGACCTCTGCATCATACGGTTGACTGTTTATAAAAAAACAATAACTTCCACAGAGAAAAGTGAAAAAAAAACAACACAAAGTAAACTGTAAAAATGTTCATATGCATAAACTTGTACCTGAAGTTTGAATGTAAAAAAGGGAGTTGGGGAGAACATATCAAATCTGAAAGCCAGTTCATTTGACACCAAAAAATAAAAGAGAGAGCAAAATATAAGTTGTATAAGCACAGCTTACAAACATAGATAACAATATAATTACAAAATATCTTGGTATGTAGAAAAATAACCATTATAAAAAGTGAAATTTGTTGTACCATAAAAAGAAAGATTGACTGTATAACAAATCCTTTACATCGAATTCAAAGAACACTGATTGCTTTCAGTACACATCACTACCACCAGAGCTGGAACTGATATAAAATGCTAACACTTTGAATAAAATGTCCAGTTTTCCAGTCACTATCTTTATTTTCCGATTGGTATATTCCCAGTAGGATCCGAGAATAACCTGCAAGTGCTTTAAGGCTTAAAGATGTGACGTTCTACTCAAATAGCTCTTCAAACGTAGTCATTTTGTTTCAGATTTGATGAGAAAAGCTCGGCTGGTTTATTTTAGCTAGCATTTATGTGGTCAGCTTGTTATGGGTGAGCGTGTGGGAACTAGCTGGATGGAACTGGTCCATGAACAGATGGTTTAACAAAGATACAGAGAACTTCATATAGATTACATTTAGGCCTTTAAGTGGTACCTCATAAGCAGTGTACTGATGACAAAACTGTAGATTAAACTCTGTTCATGTATAAAACGATAATGGTAATGTATTACAGGCACTATAGAGCTGTTGTAAATGAGGAATAAAGATACTGCTGTATAATGCTGTACAAGTGCACTTTTGGATGTTTACTATAATATATTCTGTTATATGCATTTGTAATGCATATCCTATTGTACAAGGTATATAAAGCATAGTGAGCTGCACTCATGGATAATGGCTAACAATCCTGGGAATTCAGCTGAGGCACAGTGAGAACTCATGACCCAAGATATATATACACACACATACACACACACACACACACACGCACATTAGAGCTTGAGATATTTCTCCAAACCCGACAGGATCCTGTTCAACGCTCCTACTTTAACAGATACCGGACTGCTTTTACTGTCTTTTTAGTTGTTCTCTTGCTGGTCGTAGAACTTCTCTGCCACAACAGCGCATTTTCCAGTTTAATTTCCAGATTGCAGAAGGCATTAATTGATGAATACATCATTGGGCACCTCATCCTAACAGCTAGCAAGTGGTCAACTGTAGTATCGTATCATATCATAGGGCCTTCAGGATGTTCACACTGGAAAAGCCAACTCTGCATGTCAAGTTAAATGTAACAATCAACCTATCAGCTCATGACTAATAAATTAATTGCCTTATCTTCAGTGAAAATTCTTTGAGATTAGGATATTTTAGCTACACACTTTACATTTGTGTAACAATGCAATTCCAGCAGCTCACAGCAGATAACAACAACAGTTTGGTATTACTATCTGAAAACTCTTTATAAGGACTTCTTTATCCTTACTGTCCTCGTAAAACTAGAACAAGTCTTTTTTCCTCCAACTGGGATGAACAACATGGATTAGTTGATCCTCCTTCAATTTACCATGTTTTGAGTATTTCTGTTGAGCCAGAACCTCAGTGCAATGTGATGCGATGCACCTAAAGTAAAACAAGCCGTCCATCAAAAATATCATAATGCATTGACAGTTTAATTGATTATCAACAGGAGCATTTTGGCTTAGTCATTGTTGCTCACATTGCTTTCTGTTAAAATAAGATGTTAAAAGATGAACATTTTTATCTTTTTTTCCGCTGTATTCTCTGATTCAAATCTTAAACACTGAATTATACCTAAATTGGATTTATATTCTGTATAGACAACTTTCGACAACTTTCTTTTGGTGCAATTAGGTTAAATAAAACACGCCAAATTATTGAGAATATACTTTAAACAAGACTATAGGCAAGACAATAACATGATCAAATTCAAATTGAAATAAAATCTCTCTTCTACTTTGAAATCTACAATTTCTACACTTGTTTCAATGAGCTACAGGACATTACATGGATACTGAATTGCACCTTTCTTGGTAGTAACCGCAACTTCTTTGGTTTGAAGTGGAAATCAAACTTAATTCTGTACAGCTAATTATAAAGCTATTAATATTTTACTTAAATTTTTCTCCAATTCATTCTTGACCAATTCTCACCTGATAGCTAGGGACCCCCATCACATGATGCTACCAAGCTGGGGGTGAAGGCCAGTATGTTCTTTGTCCAAGAACCTCATCTTTCCAAACTGCTGCAAAGGCAGTGTTTCTGGACAGCTTAACATGCTTGAACACTAACTGCCAATTCTGTTGTGTCAGCTAACAGACACCCATGTTAGCTAGCATTGAGTGGTGAGGGGGCATGGTGGACCATGGTATCCCTGGACTCCTGGCTATGGATCGCTGGGGCATCATCGGAGATCAAACTCGCAATCTCTTAATGATACAGCCAATGTGCTACTTTTTTCAACTTTTTAATGATGATCTGAAGACCACTGTCCTTGTTGCTTTAGCTAACTTTAAAGCCGCTATCATCTGGAATGTGAAGTTTTATTTGGTCTCTGCTTGACGGTGGTCAGGTTTGGAGAACTGTTTCTGGATATTGTCAGGTTTGGATTCCAAACTTGGATCAGTTCAGGCTGAAAGTTCTCAGGCTCTGTTCGGGTTTGGATTGAAATTTCAGGCCTGATTAAAGCTCTAACACAGAAACTCACACAACAAAAGGCCTCAGAGTTAGACGCGATCATTAGCTCCATTTGTTCACTGTTAATTCTCTCCGTCGGTCCCTCCATAAAAGCAGCACCTGACTTGTTTGTGTAAATGTAACTCGATACCATCTATCAATCTCTCATGAGGGTGAGGTCTGTCGTCCACATGCTCCGACTGGAGCGGAGGTGATGAGAACCTCACTCTGTCACAGACTCCAGCTCCTTTACCACTAAAACTAGAATGGAGAGTGCAGAAGTCTAGACTAAGGGTGTAAACCTCAATCTGAAGCATCATGAAAGCTTGCATTTCACCACAATTTGATTATTTTGGTATGATTCAGAAACAAGGCTGGGTTTCAAAATTGAAAACTTTTAAGGTTGACTGATTTGGTGCCAATGAGTTTCTTTCAACATCAAATTGCAAAACCTTAGAAGTCGGTCTTATCAGCATTGGTGAACCAATAAGCATGCTTGCTACCAAATCCAGTCTGGTGATTACAAGTATAGGCTAAATATATATAATATAAACGAAAACACAAACTTACTTTGCTCTGCTTTAAGATTTAGCTTGGCTATAGCTGCTTTTCTCGCATCTCCAGCAGGAAACTTTTCCTCAAAAGTAGAATAAATCGTGTAAAATGTTTCTCAACGTTTGACTTTTTATGAGGCTGAAGTCAGCTTCTTATTTGCAGCTTCTTGTTTGAATACTTCAGTTCCACCTTAAATGGTGCAGCAGCGCCTTAGGCACCATTTAAGGTGGAACAGGAAAATTCGAATGAGGAGCTGACTTCAGCTTCACGACTTTTTAGTGTTTGACAGTTTCTTGTTGCAGATTAAACACATCAAGTAACCAGCTGGAGTGCTTATAAATGCAAATAAGTCCATTTGTCTCTGAATTATCAATGTTCGTCCTAAATCTTTCTCTTTGCCCTGTCGTTAGCTACTAGCTAGGCGATTGCTATGGTGACCAGCAGTCTGCACGCCAACCTTCAGGGTTAAAGTGTGAATTAGCAGTTATAGGCTACATTAACTCCAGCGTTTAAGATCATTTACTGTTAAAACTGTGTTGAACGATCAGCAGAGCTTTATTTTACTGCAAAGGAGGATTATTTTATTTTTACCTAAAAATCTAATTCTGCTGTGGAGCCACAACAGGGCAGTAAAAGAGCCGCATGCAGCTCCGGAGCTGCATGTTGCCGACCTCTGATCTATAAAGGGCCTAATGCACTAGTGTGCACCAGTTTCAGTCACCAATTGGATGCATGCTGCCTGCGCATTATGTATGAAACTGACAAACGTGCATCAACACAGTTTATGGGCAGCATGCATGGTAAAATGCAATATGCACTTCTCCTGCTTATGAACTTGAGGGAAGGCTGTGTGAAATGTGGGAGGATGGTGCAAAAAGTCGATAGAGATTTTACATGTGCGACTGTGGACATATTCCACTCAATTTACTGAAGCTTGAACAACGTGTGGTGGCTGGTTTTGCTCCGTAGGGTCTCAAAAGAGGCTTCCTTTAGTAATGGCAGCAGGCACAGCAGTAAGACAGAGGCTTGAGCCTCACACATATGCTGAAAGAATGCTTCCCATCAGAATAGCTCCCTATAGAGTGTTATGGCTAGAGAGTTTATTGCGTCCTGACAACTACGATTTATTAACTCTATTTATTAACGCTATCCCTTCATCATTAAACTTTCATTTTCTGCACCTTTTAAACCCTGCACCTCACAGGTAGGCAGTTAGTGGGCGGGGCTATGTGCAGTTTGCATGATAAGCTTCAGTCTTAGTAAATCAAACGTTAAATTCAGGCGCATTGTGAGCACATACTGTGGTCACATCAAGGTATATTTTATGCTGTGCCAGCAAATGTATGTACACAGGGCCCATAATGTTTTTATACATAGATTTTTGTTTTTAAAAGAAGTTATGGTCTCACTTTATTTGGATAGTCCACTATAGTCCCCTATAGATCATCTGCAGATGTTCAAATTGTTGAAAAACTTCTGTTGAAACTCAGTTGATTCTAAACAGTTGTGGGGTTAGAGTTTGGACCAGGGTGAGGGTTGGGTTTAGGTTTTGGGTTGAGGTTAAGGTTAGGGTTAGGATTCGAGCCAGGTTTGGTGTCATTTAGTTGAATGTAACTTGAAAGTTAATGAAGTATCTACAACGCATCTGAAGTGGACTATCCAAATAAAGTGTTACCAGAGTTATCAAGAAAACTATCGTGCAGGAATTGCTATCAAAGTCAAGGTATCGTTATTTGAAAATCTGTAACGTCACTCAGCTCTGCAAACAACAAACGACTTGGTGACTTACAGTGGTGGAATACAGACAATAAAAGCAATACACTGAGTATTTTTATGGACTGTTATATTGGATTATGTTTGACCAGTCTGAGAATCTTATTTTTGGCTAAAGAACGAGTGCTGACTTCATTGAATACAATTATAATAAATTCTAATATTCCAAAAGTGCCAGATGCATTTTTACACCCCTAGTCTAGACAAAGTGATTACAGTTAAAAGTCTCTTCACCAAGCAATTTCGCAATAATTGCTGAGAAGCACCTAAAATCAGTGTGTCTAAACAGCTGCTGGACCTCTATTCACTGGAAAGGAACACTGCACTCTCCACGATTTGATAGAGCACATATTACCGTAACAAACCAACACGGATTCTAAACTGGAAACTGAGAGAAACCCACTGACTCACGAGTTGCTAACCTGATAAAAGCTAATTAGTGCATGTTTGGCGACAAGTGTCGTCTTGGGTCACGTTTATGTTTAAAAGCTTCAGCCTCCGCAAGGCTATTCTGATTTAATTACAAACTGCACCATAGGGGCTCAATAGGTTGTGAGAAATATGTGAATATAAACAGAGCATTGTTATGGAATGACAGCATCTGCAAACTGTATGACAGTGGTGGGAACTGTTTGCATTGCACCACTATGATTAACCATAGTACCTTTCTATTCACAATGAGAGAAATGCTAATGTTGGAGACCTGTTGATAAGCAGAAAAAAGGCTTTTGTTTGGTCATAATGTTAGAACACAGGATGACCTGGAATCATGGTGAATGTAGTTTGGTAAATGCAGGAATGCTGGAATATAAAATAAGCTTATTACATAACTTTAAATCCTTTTAGAACTATAATACTGCTGAATTCCTTTCAAAACTGTACAAACTGTAAAACTTTCAAGGCACGACATGTTAACCAGTGACTGTTCCTTCTCCAAGCTCATCCTGGACTTCAAAAAAAATAGAAAAAAAAACCAAAAACAAACAAATCCTTCAGAAGAATAAATCCGGTATGCAGCTCATTGTTTGTTTATCATGAGCAAGAAACGAGAAAGTATTAAGTGAACTCTTTCATTCACTACCGGTAGGCACTGCGTGTTCATCCCAGTAATTTCGGAAAACTGCATCTATTTGACAAACTGAGGTGGCATAATGGCCGTCTTTGGAGTGGCCTTAGCTTCTGTCTCTGCTGTTCCCTCCTTGCCTTTCTTCCTGGGTGGTTTTTTAATGGGCGTTTTCTTTGGTGTTGGGTCTCCTGCATCTCCTACTCTGGTCCCATTTAAGGCCTGCTTTTCTGGGCTTTTGGGCTCAGGGGTAGTGGAGTCTGTTATAGGAGCCACCATCTTCTGAAGGTTAGTAGAGGTGGGTAGAAGGGCTTTGTTGGCTCCAGTTACTGAGCGCTTGGCCTTCTGGGGTGGCGTGGGCTTCTCCCGGTTGGCCTGTGGGGTGGACACTCCATTTGGTTTGACACCAATTGAGAGACCTTCATTACGGTTCAGGCTCTGGGTCTTCTCCTTCAGCTGAGCAGCCAGAAGAGTAGCCGCCTCAGAGTTCATGTGAGGGGGCATGATCTTTGGGCTTTTGGGCGGCTCTTTGGTAGTATCACCCCCTTTCCTCTCGGAATGGAAGTTTCCGATCTTCTTTAAAGCGTTCTGAACTGCTCCATTGATGTGCTCAATGGGGTCAGAAGCTTTGTGGGCTTTGGTCTTGCTTGGCGATTCGTTTCCATCGCCCTTCTTAGCGTCTGCGTTCTTCTGCTCACCTTTCTTGCTCGACTTCTCCTTTGATCGCTGCTTATCCTCACCCTTTCCAGAGCCTTCAGTTGAGCTTCTTTTCTTCTCTTTGGGTGGGGAAGGCGCCTGGCCTTTCTCTGATTGGTTGGATCCAGATGTTCCATGGATCCAAGACACTTTGGGCTTGGTAGAGGGGTCTGGTGGGCGCGGTTTGGTCCTCTCTGGAGATGGGGCCTTGTCATTGGCTTTGGCTTCAGCTGCACTGTCCTCCTCCTCTTTGGAATGCTTGGAAAGGCGAGCGATTCGGGCATAAAGAGCCCCCATAGCTGTCTCTGATCCGCTTGTGGAGCCCTCGCTATCTGAAGACTTCAGCAGAGGTTGCTCGCTGCCATCATTGACAGGTTGCTTCGTGGCTGCTCTTGTGTCTTTGAGAGACGTGTATTCTCCAGCATCGTCCTCAGTAACGGACACAGCATTCTCTGGGGTGGCACTGGGACTGGGCTTCACATTACCCTCATTTATGGTATCTGAAACAAACATGAAGAAAAAAGTGGTTAGAAAACAAAAAAAAAACATACAAATTCATACAATGGCAAAAACCACATAAGCAAGTATATTTGAGATTGCTCATCAACTTGACATGGTTTGTGGCAAGTGGTTGACGATTGAGGCATTCAGTTTGCATGATGCTAATTGGTGTATATAAGCTTCTATTCCTTCTAGCTCAGAGCCTTAGTGCCAAAGTAAAGAAGCAAACTTTGGGCACCAACTATGTCAAGCATAGAGTAGGTTTGGACGATAATGTAAACTGAGACCAACGATTATCACATGCAGAATTATCATGATAAACAACATCATCATGATCCACATTCAGGTACAAAGTACCACGTTAGCATTATAGCTTGCATAATATTACTTTATAATTTCAATGATAACTATATTCCACCTAGACAGCATCTAACACTGTTAAGATCCAGTAGTTCTTCACATTTGTTCGGTTGGAAACCAAAATATTGCCAAACTGACGCATTCTTGTGGACAAGCTTGTCTATTTTACTCTGGAGAGTAGATCTCATGTAGTTTCCTGGTTTCATTCACATCCTGCTTTCCAGATTCCAAATCTACATTATATTTCCATATTTCGGTGATGTAGGTAATGTTATGTTTGTATATCCTATAATTAAGTGCAACCCTTTCTATTTTATATATTTTAAACTAACCCTCGATACAAAGCAATAAATCACATGGCACATGAAAGAGGATAGAAGATTGATGATTTGGAGTATTTTTATATTTGGTAATATCAATTCCAGTGCAAGGCTAGGAAGGAGAACATGTTTATGTTATGTTTTATGCAGATAAAATAGTTGTAATCATGTTCCAACCTCTCTTCATCCCTTAGGATTGAGCTGTTTCTGGTACTGTGTCTTCAAGACTGATGTATGTAAATGAGCTCTGTTCTGATTGGCTGCCCAGCCTTGTGCTTCATTCAAATTGCAGACTGAAACACTCTTTGTAACTTCAGTATGAATAGGCGGAGCTAAAATGCTGTAGGCTGAATAGGTGGATATATGTGACATCACAAAAACAGCAAATTTGAAAAAGATTTTTTTTCGTGCAGTTAAATTTTAATATATATGAACCGTATGGACTGGGGAGTGAATGCTATGCTTTGTAACAATGTTTACTGTATGAAACTCATTACAGAAATGTGGTCTTCCCTGTTGTGTCCCTTTAAGCACAAGAGGTCTGTGTTCTTTTGACCAGCTAGTGCCAAAACTCTGTAGATACACCTGAACAAACAGTTAAACACTGTTTAAACTAGTAATTTAATGTAATTAGAAAAACACACACAACTTGCTACACATACAAGCAAGTGCTGTGTATCTCTATTACACTATTTGGTGCTAACTTAAAAATACTTGTTAAACAGCCTTCGGCTCTTTCTCACAACACACACTGCTGGTTGTCAGGGTCCACTTTAAGAAACATTACACATTACTGTACAAAGCGCTGCCTGGGGCGATTCTTTGAGTGTTCCTGCCTGAGTTTTGCCAGCTAACCAAAATTGCTCAGAAAACACCAATTGTTATTCCCCTCCTGCTCAAGCATTTTAGAAGAAAATGATTCATGATTTGGCACCATCCCCACTGCTGACTCGACCATTCGTGCCATTTCCTGTTTGTATTTTCAGATTGCGCACGCAGCGTACACGCCTAAAGGCCTGGCATTACCATTCCAGTGAGCCTGTGTCCACAATCACGCTCCATCAAACTGGGTCATCGTAAAAATTGTTCAGAGACTCAACTCCCCAATCGCTTCTCCCCATTGGCCAAACAGATGGCTTATCCGCACTGGTTTCCACGGTGACTCACCTTCATGGGGTACGCAGTAAACAGGGCCGTCCTCGCTTGTCTCGAAGGAGGAGAAGGACTCCTGGGAGGACCAGGATGGGGTCGGCTGCTCGGCGACGGAGGGGGGCTCGATGAAACTGCAGTTGAAGGTGTTCTCGGGGTCGTGGTGGGCTACTGGACGTTTGGAAAGAGAAAAAAACAAACACGGGGGTCAGGACGAGCAGGCACAGGAGAGTTCCTAGGGTTCTTCCAGAAACAAAGGCTCTTTTACAATTCATAATGAAATAGTAGGACCTCCAGCCCACACTGGAGACTGACAGGGGCAGATTCCCTGCAAGGAGCGAGTGTGGATGTTTAGTTGGAATGAAACAGAAAGTCAATGAAATCCAAAACTGGATGTATTTTCCCTGTTGGAATAGTTATAGACCATATAACCATAGTTAAAAACCTAGTGTAACACCTTATTTGAAGTCTACCTACATAGGGACATCATAACATGTGCATAAGCATTGAATAATGTATTTATAAGCAATATTTGGACATTTGTTGCATTTATAACACTGTTAGATAAATTACATTAATTTTGTGGTCTCCTGAAATCTAACTACATTTTTGAGGTCAAGTAATCTCCTTTAAAGCTCCAGCTTGTGGGCTAATAAAACACCATCTGATTCTGAGGTCAAGATATGCAAAGATATGCTAACTTACGCTGAGCTTCAGACACGATTAACTAGCTGGCAAGCCTTCTTCACTGGGAGAGATTCAGTTTAGAGCGGGCCTCCAGACCTAATGTAGGTCACAGTGTTTTTTTAAGGCCAGGACTGGACGATATTGTTTTCTGCTGACCTAGAGAAGAGGGACAGCTGTGGGATGCCTGTGGTTTATCCTTCACATCTGCTTTTGGCCAGTAAGGGCTGTGGTAGGCGCTACACAAGCCTGGCCTGTTTACAGCTCTCTGACACGTGGTGCAAGCTATTTGGCTCTTCATCTAAACTTTCCAAGGAAACTGTCTTCATATCTGAGAAGCAGCAGAACTTCACTGAAAGGCTTTAGCATTAGCATTAGCTCTTCAGACTGCCGAGTCACTTCCACCAGAACATGAGCCCATCTAGTACAGCTGCTTAGAGTCTTATTACAATGCTGAGCCCTTATTTTCAGTGAGGATTTTCTGGGAACCTTTACATTTTCTTGGTATCATGTCAAAACTTTGTGACTTTTTTTGTAGTTTTCATTGTTTTTATGCACCATTTAAAACACCAGCTGTCCTTATTGATTAAATTAATCACTTCTTTGTTCTGACGGTAATGAAGTCATACATGGTCATACAAGTGAAAATATATTGCTGTTGTCAGGACAAAACCTTGTACCTCCATTTTTGTCGTTTTTCAGTTGTTGATATAGTTTGAAAATGCCTGTTGCTCTTTACGTTGTGTGTAAATTCCATGATGATTGGACCAAAAGAAACGGCCCTAACTGGCAAAAGTCTGGTTCCACTGACTTACATTAAAGTAAAGAAGGTTTTTTCCTTCTCCTGTAAAAACCATTTTTAGAGATTTGAGGTTTTGTTCCGACAACAGCGATATGTTTCATTTTTATAGCCTTCTCTGATTAGGGTGAGGAGATGAAGTGCCCAGTCCATGTTAGGCTAAATGCTTTGAACATTATGAAGCTTTTGTGGCCCGAAATTTGCCTTTTACATTAGGAAGTTTCATCAAACCAGAAACAGCCCAAGCAACAGGATAGTAGCAATTAAAATATGCTGCAAAACAAAATTTAAGCTTTAAATGTAAACAGTAGATAACTAGCTACGTACCGGCTACTTCACAAATCAAAGACAAGACATTCACGAACTGAAGGGTTAAAATGGCTTACTTTTCAACCGTCTAGTACATTTTCAGCTTAACCTTTTATTTGGCCCCATAGTGGCCATTCCACTGGTAGAATGAAAATGGACTAGGATGTTTGTAAGCATAACCAAATGGACATTTTTTCTCATAACTCTTTTATCAGATTAACCCCTTAAAATTCCAGGCTTATTACATACTAAGGCTTAATATTCAGTAACTACACCGACTTCAATACAAACTGGCTGAGCTATTCTTAAGTTATAGAAGTGTGTAATGAAACTTTGGACCTACTGGTGGGCCCTGGCCATTAAAGGGGTTAACTATCACACTGTTGGGTCTCCGTGTGTGAAATGTTGTGACTCTGAGTTGAGCTACTACCAAGTTATTGCCAAAAAATCATGTACAAGGGCCACATGAATAAAAACAAGTTGACTTGTTTGCTCACCTAAAAAAATCCAGCTACTTTTTGTAAATCATGTACATTTTGACTGAATATAATCCATCAACGTTATTAAAGAAAACAATGCATAGAACAAAAAAGAAGGACATTTAAAACAGGCATGACCGCATTTCATAGCTACTTTATAAAGAGGTTAACTAGACTTAATAAAACACAATATAAAGCTAAGTGACTAAAAGCCATAGCTCTACTACCCATCTCAGCTTCTTGCTTCTCTCACTTTCACACGGATAGCATGCCAATCCTGCTAACTCGTGGGAATGCCACACCGTAAAGTGGCACGACATGAATGTGAGAACTAAGCGCTAGCAGACTGAGGGCTTTGTTCTTGTGAGGTTAGCGAGAGGCTGACAACTGCTATGCCCTGGTCACTGACAGAGAGCAGCGAGACAGCCCAGACTGCCCTCGACGCCACTACAAACCCAGACTCGGCTATGGGTGTCAGACAAAAGTGCATTCCTTGTGCATCCAGCTGCACTGACCCGCACAGCTGTGTGGAGCCAAGGCTGGACAGAGGCAGCAGGTGGCCCTAATTGACCACGCCTTTAACTCAGGCCTTGGGATGACTGGTAGTCTCAGCCTTGACAAGAGACATAGTGAAATTGGAATATTCTGAGTCCTGAAGACATCATGATACACAGTGCATATCTCAATATCTCTGAAGTTTGCAGTCATGATGTATCTAGGACTTCCAGAGGGTCTAGACTGATGCTTTTCTTTGGTCCCACCCATTGGAAACCGGATGATTCCACTATCACTTCTTAATTGAACCAGCAGTTAATCTACTGTGTAATGCCTCCAGTTGAGCTCCTGAAGTCTTAACCAATGGGAAAGCTTACTTGGCTGTATATACCTAGATATCACAGAGGAAACATGATTGTTTACAATAAGACTATTATTCCAATAATAGAGTTTAGGTACAACAAGGATGAGGGTACTATTAAATAAAAAATAAACAAAAAATTACAAGCATGTATTTTTTTAATTCCCATAAACCAGTAGGCCTTTTCTGGAGGCTGAGAAGGCCTTGAGGGTTCCCCACTCCTGGTATAGTTGGAAGGTATAGAACAAGCAGGAACAGTAGAAGAGAAAAAGGAGGAGATGTTCCAGAATAGTTGCTTGAAAATGGATATGATCACTGCCTAAATACTATGTGATACGTCAGAATATATATTATCTATATATATATATATATATATATATATATATATATATATATATATATATATATATATATATATATAACCTCTCCATTTTTGACATAATTTTAAAATACCTGTTGCCCTTTACATTGTGTGTAAATTTCATGATGAATGGACCAAAGGAAACTCCCCAGATTTACCTGGAAAAAAGTCTGGTTCCATTGACTTACATTGAAAGTAAAGTATGTTTTTTCCTTTCTTGTAAAGTTATCAATTTAGAGACAAGGTTTTCTTCCGACAACAGCAATATATAAAAAAATAAGATACACTGCACACAGATGGTTAGTAGTCTGCCATCAGTTCATCCTGTGTCAATCTGCTGCCAAATTGCTTAACATTCTTCACAGTTCAGGGTTCAGACCATTAAATAACACTAAAACAGGTGTAAATAGGCCGTAAACGCATGGGTCACTATAGAAGGCTCTCTCTGTCTTGGGTGCCCCTGGTCAAATAACATGTTTTGTTGATTTCCTTAATGAACATAAGTTAACCCATCCTATACAGAGAACACTCTTCTGCAGGTTTTAATACACAATTACTGTTTATTTGCTGAATTTAACATATTGAGAGAAAATAAATCATAAATCATCAAAAAATAAATCATGGGAAAAAGTTATGGCACATCTACATTTTCTTTTTCTTTTTCCCAATATGTTAAACTCAGCAAAAACAGAAATGTTCATAAAAACTGCATTAAAAAGTGCCATATTTAGGTCTGAAGAGGATGTGTTGACTTAGTCTCGCTTAAAAAAAACAACAAAACATATAATTTGACTGGGCATATTCAATCTTTTGCATGCGACTGTAGGGCAGGCACGGCTATCGTGCTGTTTGCTCCACTACTCTCTGTGCCAAATCGCATGAGCGCACTGTGGATAAATCACTGCTCCCAAACAGGCTGAGGTAAATTTGGTCACTTCCTGTTTCGGGCCTTCCCAACCCCCACTCTCCTGGAATGCTTGGGCTGCTGGAGCCCCTGTGAGGGTAGGGTTACAAAAAGAACAGAGGGAGAGGAAAAAAAGGAGGGAGAAATAGTGGCAGACCTCACTGCAGCGGGTGGCCAATGAGGATAGCAGAGCCACTGGCCAGCAACAAGAAAATGGGGGGTTTGAAAGAACGAAGAAAGAAAGAAAGAGAGGGAGAGAGAAAGAAAGAGAGAGAGAAAGTCTTAGGCTTTATCTAGGCCTAGTATATGCGCCTTACTTTCAGTCTAGTTCATATACTTCTCCAGCCTCCACATGGTTTTGTTCTCCATTGGCTGATAAAATAAACACGATTTTGTGTCTTGAATTTGGCTGAACAATGTTTAGTTTCACTTCACTTTGATTTGCCAGCTGAAACGCTGACGTTACGACTCCTCGCTCCGAAACACTTCCAAAAAAATGCCATCTTTTATTAGTTTCGGCTCCTTATTTGTTTTAGTTTTGTCCTACGTTTTTGCTTGAGGGGTTTTATTGAAATGTTCTGGAGTTCATCCTCACCCAAGCCGACAAAGACATTATTGTTTCAGCGAGGTTTTTTTATGCAGGCCCCATGAAGACGACTCTTTGACTTATATAATGTGGCAAATTAGCGAGAAAGCACATGTCTCTCATAGGGACGGAATGGCTTGGGGCAAGTCTAGCCCTTGTCCCTGACTCGTGATTTGTCTGCAGGTCACATACTAGCATATCTATAAGTTTAAATGAGGCAGCTTGTGTAGTTTAAACACTATTAATCACAAACAAACCGTTTTATGATAATGGATTTGACTGGGGAATAACCCACTCAGAAAAAGGAAATACCACAATAGATAAGCACTACATGACGGTGTGTCACAGCCTGGAGCATTCCAGCTTTCAGACTTCATGTGTTGGGAGGAAACAGTGGTAACTTGGCAATTAGAACCATAAGTGATGTATCTGTCCAGGCACACAGCCACCTTCTGATATAAATTTGATCTGATGAGCTATTGTACTGCTAAGCCTTAAGCCTATTTCACACCGGGCGTGGAACGTAAACATGATGCTCTATGGTACAATATTCTCCTATATTGATCAATGTAGGCTTTCACACCTGCCACGTGTGTCATGAGGCATCATAATGGTAACGTGCGGATGAAGCACAAAAAATGCTTTGGTTTATTTTTGATGCAGTTTCTAAGCAGAAACAGCAAAAAAAGCACTAATGTGCAATCTAAGCTTCGTGTAGGTTAATACTGTGCATCTCCACCTCTACCTCCTCCCTGTCCTTAGCAACTGATAAAGATCAAAGACTGTCTTGTCAGTCTAGAATCACCGTAGAAATAGTAAAATGACAGTGTAGCTATACATCACACGGTGAGAAAACAAGCAACCGTCACATAAGCAAGTTTTTCTGTCTCGTTCAAACAGTTAACAACCAACTGAATTGCTATGCCAGTGATCACCAACTTTCTTTCTAGAGATCTACTTTCCTACAGAGCTTAACTATGTCTGACACTAACACTAATGCACTTCTGAATAAGTTAATTCGCTGGAGCAGGTGTGGAAAACTGTGGTTTATAAAATGGATAGTTCTGGTCCTAAAATCTGATTGGTTGAGCCACATTCAAAGCTGTTGTAAAATCCACAATTAACACCTATGGCTGTGCATTACTGCGATTTTGTCATGGAGAAGGGAGTTTTAGGCACTCTGCCTCTCGTGGCTTACTGCTTAATTAAACTAGACTCTGCAGAAAGGTCCAGGACCATGGTTGGTGACCACTGAGCTATGCTCAAATGTCATCAACATTAAAGCAATAAATGGACAATAGTCCATTTATCCAGAGTGTGAAAATCCAATGCAAACAGAAACTGTTTTCACCTTATGACATGTGAGTAGTGTAAAATAACAAGCTTCGTGAAGCGGTTTGAGTTTACTGCGCGTGTCCAGTTGCTTCTGGTGTGATATCAGCTTTAACTGCATCTTCTGCGCGTTAAGTTGGCCACAACTATTGGAACGTCGTCCATTTAATTCTGGCTGGCTAAACACACATCTGTATGTATGCACTTCCATGCAGAGAGATCAGTCGGATGGGAAACAAACTTTTGTAAGTAGTCGCCTGCTCTGCGTGTTGTCGGGAGATAGTCGCTGGACTGAAAAAAGACCGTTCATGGCATAACATCTCTAACATCTCTAAGGCATACAGTGTACAATTTTAGAAGTCTTTTTCTTTGGTGACTCACACTGCATCGCCCACCATGTATGGACAAAGCCTACAGTGTATATGCTCACACTGTATGAAAAAAACAAGCTTACTCTGGTCTAATTGACATGCTACAAAGTGGGTGCTCATACTGCATGTTAAATGCAACCCCTAGAGAGCTCCATCTACAGGCAATTCCCAATAAAGCCGCCTTTTCAACCTATAGCAGTTTAGCAATGGCCATTCACTCTGAAGTTATAAGGGGTGTTTGACACTGCACTGCTTTTGACTGAGACAGAATACAGCGCAGCCAATCATAACAGAGCTCATTTAGATCTATCAGCCTTAAAACCATGGTACAAGAGGCCGTTTAAAGTGTGGTCATGAAAAGTGAAAATGAATTATGAATGGTTTCGGCACCTAAACCCACACAAATGTTATAGATGGACCTCAGGGGAAAAATAAAAAGGCGGAAAAATGTAGGACAACGTGCCAAAAAGGTTTCTTTAAGTGATGCCATAGAAGAGCCACTTTGGATGTACCCTTAAAAACTCAACTGAAACCACTTAACTGAAATGTTCCTTAGGAAACCAAAAGCAGTTCTTCTACAACCTTGAAAAAAGTGGTTTTTCAAGAGTGAATGGTCACACGTGAAACCGTGCCAACTCAAAACATTTGAATGCTTAGATGGTTCTTTATGTGATTAAATTGTTCTTTTCTATGATGACCTGGCATTTATGGTTCTTATGTGGTGGAAGAACCTATATCGCATCAAAAGGGGCTCTGCTATTGTTACAATAGAAGCCTTTATGGCACTTCAAAGAACGCTTTTTGGTTCTAATGTAAGTAATAAAGCACCCAGCATATATCTTTGTGTATTACTGGAGCATAATACTGATATGCTGCACTACAAGATTAATATGTTTGTGGTGCCGCTTTCATATTGTCCCAAAAACACTCCTCTTAACGGCGAGCTGGCCAAAATCGCAACGCTGACCACAAGAACACGGCACAGGGGTTCCATCCTGGCAAAAACAGAGGAGTCTTTGATTAAGGATCACTCGCGGCACCGAGCCCTCCGCCACAGGAGTTTTAATAAGGAATAGGGAAATGAGAGCAGAAACTGGAGGGGAAAAACGTCTGTTTTGGGTTCAGAATAATACAGACTCACGGCCCTGCAGGGAGCCAAGAGCAATACGGCCAGTACCCAGAGCATTCCATTCAAATGAAACCAATGAGACCCCGATTGGGTAGCAGCGGTTTAGTTTCAGCCCCACTACAGCTCTTTACTGCTCAGCTCAGATCAAACGGAGAAAGAGGAGCACTACGGTAGGTAACTATTACCAAAGATGACATGGTGTGCTTAGTGCCATGGAGACGTGAGGCAGCACATCAATCATACAGTCTACTGTGGGTGGGTGATACAGCCAAAACATAACATCATGTATGGTAGCGACATATTTACATATTACTGTTAAAAACTACAAATCCATTCACATACTGCACACAACTGCATCCAGTTAGGCAAGGCCAGTTAAACTCTCATGGATTCATGGCATCTTCGAGATTCAAACTCATGATCTCCTGACAATAAAGCAAAACCTAGACAGCTATGATGGTTGTGAGCCTTGTAAACTTATAATATCTTTAATGATAACTTTTTTTTTGTTCAGTGTGTTGATCAGAAACTCTCGGGCTAAAATGGAAAAAAATGAACCATGGCTCTATCCATTGTAAACATGCCTACTTGCATCCTATTACTTTGTCACAGCAGCCGCCACAGCGGGATTTTCCAGTCTAGGGGGACCAGGGGAAACCCCCTTCTAATGACATATCTTGAAGGTGGAAGGAACTTTGGAAAAAGCACAACAGCTTTGGGGTGGATTTTTGTGTACAGGACAAGACTGTAATGCAGTGTGATACTAATAGCACTGTATTCACTACAATACCCAGCATGCACTACACAAATACATCATACAACCATTAGGAATCCCTGTGGTGTCAACCAAACCCGACTGCTAGCCTTGCCACTGATCTGTAGGCTAATAAACACAACCAAGCTAGTAAGACGTACACAACTTCTAGCATGGTTGTCTTTATTAGCCTACAGATCTGTGGCTAGGCTAGCAGTCAGGATTGGTTGACACCACAGGGATTCGCAATAGTTGTATGATGTATTTGTGTAATGCATGCTGGGTATTGTAGTGAAAGGACATTGAGGAATGAAAACAATATAAAATTGCAAATTCTGTCAAACTGATTAGGCTGAGCACACAATCCAGCACTACAGAATGCTGCACAACACGGCAAATAACAATAACCTGCTTAAACGTACCGCATGAACAACTGAAAAGTGTTTAGACCGGAGTTCGGGCAAACCAAATGTTAAGAAGAGCCATTTTGTCCTTTCAACAAAAATCAAACCACTTTGGGAGCCACAACATTTTATGTCCATTTTACCATTTAAACCATAAGCATAAATAGGTGCCAGTATGTGCTAATGTCCTAGTATAGGCTAAAAAACATAATATAAAAGAAAACACAGACTTTGATCTGCTCTACTTTTCTCACATCTCCAGCAGGAAACTGGCGAACAAGAAGCTGACTTCAACCCCGCAACTTTGGAGTTTAAACTTATCAAGAAAACAGCCGGAGTGCTTATAAACGCAAATGAGTCTATTCATCGCCAAATTATTGATGTTAATCTTTGCCCTTTTGTTAGCTGCTAGCTAGCTAAGCTGCTAGATTGTTGTCTACATTGCCATGGTGACTAGCAGTCTGTGTGCCAATCTTCAGGGTTAAAGGCTGGTGAATTAGCAGGTATAGGCTACAATAACTACAGCTTTTAGGAGCATTTACTGTTAAAACTGCGTTAGAACGATCAGCAGAGCTTTATTTTACTGCAAAGGAGGATTATTATATTTTTACCTAAAAATCTAATTCTGCTATGGAGCTGCAACAGGGCAGTAAAGAGCCCCATGTTGCCGACTCCTGGTTTAGACCAATAAAGTAAAGAAGTAAACCAGAGGAAGTCGATATGGTGTACTCGGATTAAAGAGAGGAAAAAAAATCAATTATGACCACTAAAATTCACAAAAATACACTTAGACAACAATCAATAAATGAGGTTCATGTAAACCGATGTGCTGAGACAATGAGGAATAACAACCATCATTTTACTGGTGCATGTCCAACCTAGAAATGCTGTTTCTTAAGCTCAAACATGTTGACATACCAACAACTTTGGGCAGCTTCTGTCTCCGGAGGGGGATTCGGGGTAACTTTGTGCTGATTCGGCTGAACCGTCCACAGAGGATTCTCTTGGCCTTCTTACTGTTAGTAGAGCTGTCCTGGTCTGGACTGTAAGCAGGAGGAGGGGATTAGATCAAAGAGCGAATCTACACTCAGGCCAACATGTGTTCTGGATCTGTGTGCAGTGGGCTGAGCTATAAAACTCTTCACTTTACTTGCTTAGTGTGTCTGTGGAGAAGAATCTTAAAAGACAGCACACAACATGGGTTCATCATATATGAGGTGCTCTTTAGAAACCATAAAATTCCAGATAAACCTGCTTATTAGGACACACTGTCAGAGGGGAGTAGTAGCTCCATTTGCTTCAGTCCATGTTTAGTAGTAGTTTAGTGTGGAGTAAAGAATAGAGTTTTAAACTTCAGTTCCTTTGCTGATCAATGCTGGATGTACTAAGACGTTATACTGCAGATTCACTGAAGACATTTAACAGTTGACAGCATCACTGTATTGGCATTTTATTTCTAACATCAACCAGACATCTGAAAAAAGAGTCAAATAAATCTGTACTCTTACTTCTTCTTGAGTCATTAAAAGAGGTCAGTTTACAAATCCGTCGGTACAGTTTTGCTAATCAAGAGTACAGTTTACAAATCTGTGGGCACAGTTTATAACGTGCGGGGACAGATTTTCTCGTTAGTGACCCCTACCGGCCTCCGTAGGGATAAAAATACAATTTGTATTTTTTCTGCTGAAATTTTGTAAATGCGCACATCATTTGTAAAGTGTTTGAATGGAAACTGGGCCAATGAATTTAGCACCATGTTAATACTAGCTCAATCATGCAACACGAAACTACACTCGATTTATCCAAACAAGGTGGCTTTTCACACAGAAACAAAATAAATATTGTTTGAAATCAATACTGCACTAATTTTCCAGTCTGATACAATTTCTCGTTTGCTTGAATGGAGTTTTTGGCAACATCTTCTAACGCTTGTCCAGTCTAGCAACTGGTGCAAACGAACACATTTGCGACTGGAGCATGGAAAGATCAATAAAGTGGAAAAACTAAAACTGAACTGCAGAACTGCATTTAAGTGAAGAGTGGTTGTGTTGGTTCTGGGTGTGGTAGAGAGGCAGGTCTGAACTTTGCTGACTCACCTATTGTGGTTTTTGTTGCTGCAGAGGAAGCAGCAGCAGAGCAGAGAGAGGAGGATGAGCAGCAGAAAGGATACCAGCGTCCCCGCAGCTATCACACCCATCCGCTGGTTAGGATCTGAGGAAGAATAAAGGAAAAATAAAGCTTCAGAGACCCATACAGAGTCAACTCAGGCTACAGCTGTCAGCAGCTGCGATTTCAGCATCAAAGACTGTAACTTGCAGAGAGCTTCAGTGCGGCACACTGATCTTAGTAACTGAATAGTCTACTGATTTTGACTACTTCACCAAATCAGAAAAAAACGATGTAACAAACAGTGGCAATGCATTGCCTTTCAAAGATTCTGAAATACTAGATGTAGATAGATAGATAGATAGATAGATAGATAGATAGAAAGACAGATCGAAAAATAAATAAAACATACATATATGCATATGAATGTACTGATAGATAGCTTAATAGCTATAGAGCTGGTTAGATAAATAAATAAATCTATATCACTGTTGTCAGAACAAAACCTTGTATCTCCAAAATAAAAGCTTTACAGGAGAAGAAAAAATTATACTTTACTTTTAATGTAAGTCAATGGAACCAGAATTTTTTCCATGTCATTTTTGGCCGTTTCTTTTGGTCCATTCATCATGAAATGTACACATTTACACATATTTCATATGACAAAATAAGGATACAAAGTTTTCCTCCAACAGGAGCGATATATACATATATACATACATATATGTTTGATTGTTGACATTGATAAATAGGTAAAACGTGCATATATGCATATGAATATATTGTGAGACAGCTAAATAGCAGACTAGATAGATAGGTAGATAGATAGATAGATAGATAGATAGACAACACAGTTTTCCCATCTGTTCTTATTTAGTGGCTTTAACATTGTGCACCATGGTGTGAAAGATAAGTGGAGTGTCAGAGAGTGGGGTCAGGCATCCTCTCTGAACACAGCTGTGCAAAGGAAGGGCTGCGCTGGTGACATCATCACTGCCAAAAACCTCTGCTAACCTTTAAACCTTTACTTCTCGCTCTATCCCTCTCTCTCTCTCTCTCTCTCCTTCGCCCTCTCTTGCTCTCTCTTCCTCCCTCTCTCCCTTTGCCCAACTCTCTCTTGCTCTTTCCCTCTCTTTATCTGCTGTCTTTCTTTCCTCTTGCCCCTCTCTCTCTCTCTCTCTCTCTCTCTCTCTCTCTTCCTCTTCCTGTAGTATTTCTCTGCTCAGTGAGAAGCTTGCACTAATACTGCAAGCAGAACAGGAAAGGAGCCAAAAAACACAGCCGTAAAAATCAGACACTACTCTGGAAACACCATCAGGGCCGCCGCGGTAAAACTGCAGCTGTCTACTACAGTGACCTACATAGGACTACACACACACAGGCACACGGACACTCCTAACAACGCATGTTACCAATAACAACTGCGTCTCTTTGTCCTGTTTTCAGTGTTATGAAAGAAATCACCTTTGACTCAATGTAAAATATACCACAGTTAGTTCTCACCCCGCAATGTGATTGGCTGAAAGGTTTTCCAAGAGTGTCAATATCTCCCAATAACGGCACTCCTAATTGTAATAAAGCAACGACAACCAGCTTTTAATAAAGCAACAGCCACAACTTCAAAACAAGCAACAAGCCTGCTGAAAAGAACTATAGCGAGAGCAAGTGAACAACAAAATGACAAAATCAAATCACTCACATTGAAATTAACTAAACTGTTTACACCAGACTCGAGCAGCAGAGCTGCATTAATGACGGATGCCCTGTTTCTATTTTTGACATGTTGCATTGCATTGTGCTGATGTTACATATTAAATACTGCGGTTACGCCGCCTTTCGTCAGAACATGGTGAAAATAGGCAAAAACAGATGAGGAGAAACTAATCCATGTGGTGGAGCAAAGAGAGCTGTATAACCCTTCCTCTGATCTTCATAAGGACATTGCCAGCCTGGTGAAAGTTTTAGTTAGTAGTACCATGTTTTTAATCTGCTCTGAGCTACTGACATTGCTTTTAAATATGTTACATACCTGTAAAATGTGTATCTAGTTCTCTCAAGCTATTGACTGATACTGTATAGTTTGTTTACATTTTATTTTAGCCTTTTGAAGGTTCAAAGAACTTTCACACAGTCTAAGGAGTCTTCAGCAACTTAACCGTTCTTACTATAGACTGAATGTGGAGATTTTAGAAGTTAAAAGGGTTATTTCATAAATCTCAACTGCAAAAACAGTTCTCTAAAGATAGATAGATAGATAGACAGACAGATAAAACAAGCATATATATATATATATGGATGTTTGTGTGTGTGTGTACAGACAGACAGACAGACAGATAGATAGATAGATAGATAGATAGATAGATAGATAGATAGATATACAAGATAAAAACCTAGCATATGTGCATATCGCTGTTGTCTGAAGAAAACCTGGCATCTCCAAAATGACACCTTTACAGGAAAAGGAAAAACCTACTCAACTTTTAATGTAAGTCAATGAAAACAGAGTTTTTTCTAAGTAAGTTCGGGTCATTTCTGTTGGTCCATTCATCATGAAATTTACACACAATATATATGACCATGGGTACTTTCAAATTAGGTCAAAAACTGAAAAACATTTTTCCAACAACAGCGATATGTAAGCAACTATAGGTGGATAGATAAAACATACATATATATGTATGTGTTTAGAGATAGCTAGCTAGACAGCTAGATAGATAGATACTTTAATAAGGTTATTCGTATTCATAAATCTCATTTGCAAAACCGGTTCTCTAAAGAACTATTCATTGAAAGGCCTTTGGTGAAGCAAAAATGCCTCCTCTATGGCATCATGCAAAGAACTTTTTGGCATATTTATTTTTAGCATGTATCCTAAATACACTTGCAACATTGAGTCACTTCTGTTTCTTTGCACTACATGCGTAGTCTGTATTTTTAGTAGCACATAGCATAAATTGGACTACAAGAAGCTGCTTTGATTTATTTGTACCATCTGAGGTTTCAAAGAGGTAAGAGAGGTGCTAATATACATATCGCTTTGTAAGATTCTACTCACTCTAGATCCAGCGGTTGGAGTTACACCATGTAATTGTGATTATTCGCTAGAGAAGTGCAGTGTAGTTAGCTTTTATTTCATGTATTTTTGTAGCACACTCAGAGGGTATGAGTTTGATTCTCTCAGATTGGTACTAGACACATGAATTTATATTGTATGCACGTTTGGTTATTGGGTGTTTTATGGTGCTTGAAACGAATAAAATAGCTTAAAACTCTTGTCTGTCTGTTCTTTGCTTCTTGCGCTCTTGACCAGTTCATTATTTAATGCTACACTGTAGATCCCACCATGCTCTTGACTTAAGGTGGGGGTCATAATATCTGGGGGTTCATCCATGATTTGAACTCAGGACCTTTGCTGATATTTAAGCGTTCCTCATGGAACCAAAAGTGGCGTCGCTCCAAAGATCTTTATTTTTAAGAGGGTACTTTTAAACGTCCAACAATGCTGCAGATGACCCACCCTGCTCTTTATATTATATCATAGACCATCACTCGACTTTGACGCAATGGAAAGTATGACGGGTGTAAGACCCTACAAGGACGTCTCATCAGTCTGAGAATCTTTGTGCGTCTCCAAAACAAACTACATAACAAAGTCCGAAGCCTATCCATTTCATTTTTAAGAGACAGAGAGCGAGAGAGAGAGAGAGAGAGAGAGAGAGAGAAGGTTTTTTTTTCTTACATAGATTGCATTCTCCAGACACCGGGTTGCAGTTTTTATCGTGGCACAGGCAGGTCTGTGCGCAGTTCACCCCAAACTGGCCAAACTCACAAGTCAGGTTGCAACTGTGAAGATAAAATAATAATAATAATGATGAAAATGCAGATCAGTTACATTAGTAATGAGCCTAACAATGAGCAGAATGATTAAGACTACAAACCGAAGCAAAGAAAATGAAGAAATCCTTTATCATTTCACTGAGCTTATCTGGAAAATATCTACCTATGAACCTAAATTTTACCGAAAGGGTGTATTTATACTTGTAGTTAAGAAAATTATACACTGTTGCATTTTAGTTATGGTTTACTTAGCTTGCTTAACTTATTCAAAATGGTCCAAACTGATTGGACCGACTTTCTGACGCACAACAACTGTGATAATGCCCACCAAACTTTCTGAATCATGCTCAAACATGTCTTGCTTTACTTGACTCCCAGCTTTACTGTGGTTTTTCAGGACGCAAACCAAGATGAAATCCCTGTAAGAGACCCGAGTGGCTTACTGCTTTTACAAAACAGAGAAACTTTGGTGACTTGATACATGATATCATTTATGTGTGCAGTCAAATGTGTATAACAGGTATTTTAAAATGACCTCAAATGTCATATTTTAAAACCCAAACACTCCCTTCATTATCCATACAATTACTGATTCAGAGCTTATGCAGACATGATAAAACACAAATAGCATCAGAAATTCCACTTTTTTAGTTCTGCGGAGAAGAGACGATGGTTCGTTCTGTCTTCGGTCCATTTAGACGTTGTTGGTCTGTATTGCACTCATACTTTCAACAAACCGCACCAGAGTTCATTTTGATGTGGACCAAGACTGACCTGCTCAGGGGGTCTCGGTCTGCTTATTTGGTGCACACCAGATCAGTTCAGATGGCAGTTTGCTCACTTGCTCTAACAAATCACACTAACAGAGCAATCAAACCCAACCTGCCAATTTTGTTTCCACCCCTAAAGTTATTACCAGAGATAACAAAAGCATGGTCTGATAAAAATAAATTATTAAAGTGAGCAGATAAATTCCATCTAGAACAATTCATTCCTCACTTGTTATTGTTGTGCAGACGTTCTTGTTTTCCAAAAAGAAAAATCACACCAGTTTTTTCAACTGTCATATAGGAAAAAGTCATGACTCAATCCTGTCAATATTCAGCAGACTGAATGTAAATGTGACTGTGTTACTATGTAATTAAATATGCAATTACTAGTGGTTTCAAATGTAACTGATTGGTTACTAATGTCACTACAGTTGCACCCTGAAGCCCAGCTGCTCCCATGCTGTTGCAATGACTCTGCAGCTGTAGCGCTTTCATTCAAACACGGCTTATGAATGGTAAGTTCCATTGATGGCTCTATTAATAAAAAGTCATTTCCACTTACTCATGCTGTGAATTCATCACTGAAGTATGCGGAGTCTTAGTAAGCAAAACAAGTATGTTTAAAACAAGCTCGATTAGATTAAGCAAGCATGAATATATATGAACAGATCAGTGTCCGGCATATAAGCTTTTCACAAATAATCAGTAGTTTAAACATACAGTACCAAAGAAATCACTGGAACTACAACATAAGAGAAAAATATTCTTTTCTTTCTCCTCACATGACTTAAGAGTAAGTTCACCATCAAAGATTTTTACGACTTGAGTGATTAAATTTAGGAGCCATTACAGTCAAAATCATTTGGGCTGTGGCCTCTCGCAGAAAAATGTTGCTTGGCAAGAGAGGGCAACAGTTCCCGTTCCCTAACGTTTAGAAAAGGCGTTCCTTCATGAAATACAGTGCGGTTCTAGCATGTGGTTTTGGCCAAATGAGCATTTCGGTAGATATGAGTAGATGTGATAAAAAGCAACCGAAGACAGAAAAGGAAAGGGCTGTTTTGCAAAATACTTTTAAGAGGCTTTTAATGAATTCTGAATCCATTTCATCATTCAAGGACTTTGCCTGATAAAAGTCTCAGTCAGGATGTTTCACGTTTGTCACAGCTGACTGTTAGTATAAGCAACTCTATCTGTGATTTGCTCATTATTTATCAAGCACCTGTTTTTCATCTGCAGTGTTTTTATGCCTGTTTCAGTTATGAATATAAAGACTGAGTAGATTAACAATGATCACATGTTATTTAGCAAAAAACATCCTCAGCGAGGTCCTAATCTGTTAATTATGTGCTGAGTTGCATCAAAACCACAAGCACTCACAGCCCTTCCTGGAATGCAGTGCTCCACGCCTCTGGAGCTCAAACACATGTTCCAAAATATCAACAATCTTCTGAAGTACAGGGATTCTAAAAAGCCAAAACCTCCAGGGTTTCAAAAAAAGTGAAAACTTTCAGGAGCGCTGGGAAAACTTACAGGGATTCTCTAGGATGTTGAGAACTTACAGGGATTCTCTAGTGAGGAAGAAAAATCCCCAAAAAACTCAAAAGATCCTACAGCAGAAGAAAAAAAAACTCTTTATTCCAGAATGTCAAGAACCTTAAGGTCAAACCTTAAGGTGACACTGACCCAGCAAACACCAACAAAACAACATGGCAGTTGTTTTAGTATGTTTAGAAAATGAACTTACAAGCTAAAACAACAGTGTGGGATAACATTCTGGAATAGAGATGCATCGATACCATTTTTTACATGGTATCGTTTTTAGCACTCGCTGATACCGAGTCTGATACCATACTGAGTACTCTACTTAGTATGAATAGTATAAATAATATAAATGAGTATAAATTAACGCGAGCTACCTTAACTGTCCAATCACTAAACTCTAGCTTATATTAAATGTTGTGAATTAGTTAGCTATGCTATATTAGCTACCGTGGATCGAGTAGCACTGCAGTGGAGAACAGCGGGTTTTGTTCCGCATTAGAAAAGTGGTTCTGTACAGTTGTAACTAGGATTCATAGTTTTGAACCCCGATCTGCCTCTTTCAACACCAGTTTGTGTAGCACAGTGACTTCAGGAAGAACATCTGAGGCTAACGCATCTGAAGAGCTCACTTGTGGAGTTTATACCTAAAGTACTGAAAGAACGGGGGAGAACTTTCAAGAACAGTGTGAATGAGAAAGAACATTCTAGAACAGAGTGGATGAAATAAATACGGGAGAACTTTCTAGAACAGTCTGAATGTTAAAGAACATTCTACAACAGTCTGAATGTTAAAGAACATTCTTGAACAGTGTGAATGGGAAAGAACATTCTAGAACAGTATAAATAGAAAAGAACATTCTAGAATAGTGTTAAGGGGAGAATGGGGAAACCTTTCTAGAACAATGTGAATGGGAAGAAAATTCTAGAAAACTGAAATGGGGAGAATATAACCCTGGGAATAGTGAGCACATTCTAGAACCTCATGCATGAAGGGAATATTCTCAAACAGTATGCAAGAGGAGCATTCTAGTACTGAGTGGATGAGAAGCATATTCTAGAACAGTGTGAATGGAGGAATGGGGGAAGCACATTCTAGAACAGCGTAAATGGAGGAATGGGGAAGAACATTCTAGAACTGTGTGAAAGGAGGAACAGGGGAGAACATTCTAGAACAGCGTGAATGGATGAATGGGGTAGAACATTCTAGAACAGTGTGAACGGAGGAACAGGGGAGAACATTCTAGAACAGAGTGAATGAAATAAATACGGGAGAACTTTCTAGAACAGTCTGAATGTTAAAGAACATTCTTGAACACTGTGAATGGGAAAGAACATTCTAGGACAGTATAAATAGAAAAGAACATTCTAGAATACTGTAAATGGGAGAACGCAGAAACCTTTCTTGAACATTGTGAATGGGAAGAAAATTCTAGAAAACTGTGAAATGGGAAGAAAAAAAACATGGGAATAGTGAGCACATTCTAGAACCTCATGCATGAAGGGAATATTCTCAAACAGTATGCAAGGGGTGCATTCTAGAACAATGTAAATGAGGGAAGAATATTTTTTGTGAATTGGGGAGAACATTTTAGAAGAGTGTGAATGGGGAAAGAGCATTCTAGTACAGAGTGGATGAGAAGCACATTCTAGAACAGTGTGAATGGAGGAATGGGGGAAGCACATTCTAGAACACTGTGAATGGAGGAACAGGGGAGAACATTCTAGAACAGCGTAAATGGAGGAACAGGGGAGAACATTCTAGAACAGCGTAAATGGATGAATGGGGTAGAACATTCTAGAACAGTGTAAATGGAGGAACAGGGGAGAACATTCTAGAACAGTGTGAATTGGGGAGAACATTCTAGAACCGTGTAAATGGGGATAGACCCCAACATTCAAACCCAGGCATGGCACATTAATCCATGTTTGCTGGTGAATGTTGGATCGGTATGCATCTGGTTTTAAATGATTTCAGATTTATGTCATAATATTAATGGATGAATACAGCATATGAAATTTACACTGGCCAAAAATCATCAGAGATTGCAGAATGGCAGAAGGTTCAGATGTTCTAGAGATTCTTCAGTAGTGAAACCCTTCATAGATTCTAGAAGCACAAAGACTGTCAGGTCTTTGCACCTTCAAAATCATCAAGGAATCTCTACAATGATTTAAAAAAACAAAAAATCTAAAATGGCAAAATATCATCAACGATTCTAGAACGGCAAAATACTGGGGGACTACCACTCACAGTAACAGGGGCCAACCTGCAACCTAAAGCCACATCATGCACACATGAAAATGAATGATAGCAGCTTTTTCAAGTTTAACCTTCCACCATTCCATCTTTCTAATACTTGTGTGAAAAATATTTACCACTGTAGTTACAGCCAAATATATAGTAAGTTACTAATTGACTTACTATGTCCCGTAAAAGCCTGGGTCACACAAGCACTCTCCTGTAGCGAAGTGGCAGTCGCCGTTAAAGCAGTGGCTGCAGTCATTCGCACAGTTATCCCCATAGGTGCCATTGGGACAGCGAACCTCACAGCTACAGAGTGAGAGGGATAGAGAGAGAGTGGTCAGGGAATATGTTGCACTATGATGAGAACAGCCATTTAATGTGAAACTAACAACAGCATCAACTGAAGTCCTACCGATCTCCGATCCAGCCAGGATTGCAGTGAGAGCACTTCCCGTTGATGCGATCACAGTAGTGACCATCTTTGCATGGTGGACACTCCTCTTTGCAGTTCTCCCCAAAAAAGCCCGGAGCACACATCTGGTCACACTTGGTGCCGTTCCAGCCTCTCTCACAGGTAACACAACGTCCTTCTGTGACCTTACATGGCTGCTGACCCTTACAGTGACCACACCTGGGGGCAGAAGAGATCAAGGGAGCCATTATCTGTCTTAAATCATGAAGGGCAGGAAAACAAAAAGAAAACATCTCCATGCCTGCAATCATTCAATCTGGACGTCTGTTGTTAATTCTAGTATTTGTGTAATGTAGGTCTTCTTTTAAGTCTGCTCATGATGTTTGTGTAGTTTCATGAGTCATAATTTAATTAATCTAAATTTAACTTAATTTGTACCATTTTGACCATTTTTTTTTCCTTTTTTACCCTTACAAGCTGTTTCCCAGCAGTCACAGAAGGCAGGAAACACCCTGCACAGGCCACCAGTCCATCGCAGGGCAGAGACACAGACATATACAATCACACACATTCACATCTAGGGGCAAATTAGTTTGTTCAGTTGGCCTGACTGCAGGTATTTAAGAGGAAACCGGAGAAACCCACACAGACACAGGAAGAACATGCAAACATGCAAACCTGGTCACCTGGCTGGGGAATAGAACCCCGCAACAGCATGACCCACTGCGCCGCCGTGCACCATGGTCAATCAGACTGATCAAAACATATTCTTACTTATAAAAGCTCGAAAAAAAAGCTAGTTTTTTTTTTTTTTTTGCCACATTAACCATGTCAACATTAACACTAAATACTGAATGTACTATTTTTCTGCCATTTTCTTTAGTTCGATTTGAGATGAGTGGGGACTAAATTTGGTGCAGATGATGTCAGATCTGTTAAAGTACCAATCACAGTTAGCAAAATGTACACATCAGATACTCGCCTTCCTCCCCCTCACATAAAGTGACTGATCTCCCGCTGCTGAGTCCCAGTAATTTAGGCATTTTGGAAGTTTTTATAAGTAACAATATGTTTTGATCAGTCTGATTGACTAAACTGGGAACAGGGAAAGTTGTAAATTAGATATTCACTTAATTATTCCTGACATTTTCATAACTTTGTGCATTAAATAGCCACGGCCACAAACTTTGTTCTCTTATCAGAGCTGTTCTGCAGAAAGTGTGAAGCCTCTTCCTTTTTGTTTTGTAAGTTTGTATTTATTCAGTTATACTATTCGTTTTGTCCAGTCCAGTTTCACCAGAACAAATTCCTTGTACGTATATAAGTGTACTTCTTAGTTTTGATTCTGACTCCCTCCCGCCCCTCCTCACTTGTTCCTGCAGTTCTGCCCGTAGAACCCAGCCGGGCACGGCTCCCTGCAGAACTTGCCCCTGTAGCCCGGCTTGCAGGTGCACGAACCGTCCGCCTGGTTGCACTTCCCGTGGACGCACTGGCAGTAACGGTCGCAGTTGGGCCCCCACAGCCTCTCTCGGCACTGGCAGCGGCCGGTGAACTGCTCACAGGGCGAGTTGTTGCAGGTGCACTGAGCTCCACAGTTGCGCCCGTACCAGCCGGTGTTGCAGATGCAGCGACCTGTGCTCTGGTCACACACTGAGTTAACGCTGCAGTAGCAGTTGTTGCTGCAGTGAGGCCCCCAGAAGCCCGCATGGCACGTGCACTTGCCCGTCTCCTGGTCACACTTGCCTTTCTGGCAGGGGCATGCCTTCTCGCAGTTCTCGCCCCAGCGGTTGGGGTGGCATGTGCACTTGCCCGTCACATCGTCACACTTTCCGTTGGGGTGGCATGTGCATTTGCCCTTGCAGTCAGGACCCCAGAACTGAGCAGGGCACTCTGAGGAGTTGGAGAGAAAGGCAGGAAATAAACAGTAATGTAAACAAAATGTACATTTTGATGTTTTCGCAACAAAATATCAAACGTTAACTTTTCAGGTGAAGGAAAAAATTGTTCATTTTGAATGGAAGTTAATGGAACAAGACTTTTTCCTAAGTAAATTTGGATCATTTCTGTTGTTTCACCCATGATGACTAACTGACATGATGGCAGCTGTTCTTTACTAACACACTGTAAAGAACAAATTTGGTAACACTTTATTTAGATGGTCCACTTTAGATGCATTGTAGATACTAAATTTATAAGTTACATTCAACTAAATATCTACTAAATTGACCATAAGTTTCTTTAACTCTAAACCTGCTCTAATCCTAACCCGAACCTTAACCTCAACCCAAAACCTAAACCCTACCCTCACACTGGTCCTAAGCCTAACCCTGGTCCAAATCCTAACCCCTAACCCCACCACTGTTCAGAATCTATTGAGTTTCAACAGATAGTTTTTTAGCAATTTGAAAATCTACAGATAATCTACAGGGGACTACAGTGGACTGTCCGAATAACGTGAGATTTCAAATTGTATAAATAATATGAAAAACGAAAGTGGAGATGCCAGGTTTTCTTCCAAAAGCGACAATATATAGTTGCTGGTTTATGACAAACACCTACTCTGTAACTACACTCATTGGCCATTTTATCAGATACATTTACCACATATAACTCTGAATTTTTGTCATCAATTTGTCATCAGTGAGGTGCCCATATACGGAACTCTGGGTGTAATATTTTATCTATATGGTAAAAAATCAATAGTTCTCACTTCTGTTCACTTCTATAACAACATGTTGTAAAGAAAGTTGTTCCACAGGTCATAAATTTTGTTAGAGGTCTGCACCAGGTAGGTTCACCCACAGGTCCCACGTGATCTGCTAAATAATTAGTGATTAATTTTGAAGCATTTTGAAGCGGGCTCGTGTGGATGGATATCACGGCTGGCTGAGTTTGGCGGGTTTGGTCAATTATTGGCTGCTGAGCATTAAACAGGCAAGTAACAAATGAGTTGCAAGGGTGCTGCAGAGAGAAACACATTAGTAGTCACAAGCAGCAAAACACGTAAAGCTATAGAACATCCAGTAAATAACTTTTGCACAAAATCAGATTTTTTTCCACAACCATTCTTTTGGCTTGTTAACCTGTGTCGCGGCATCTGTTTTGGCTTTAAATTCATTTTGGCTGACTTGTAGACGTCTTATAGAGTAACTGGTTAATATGTAATGCTGGTACAGATAAATGTCAATAGCAAAGTCAAGCTGCTACACTGTTTTATGCTTCCCACTTGTCTGTCGACGTCACCTGATGCGATGCGCATGTGCAAGTTCACGTGGCTTTAATTAGCCTAAAAATGCACAAAACATTTACTTTTACTTTGCAATATTGAAATGTTTATTTGTGCTGCTGGGTGTGTGGAGGTGTGATGGGTCTGGTGGCTCCGCCGTGTCACAAGGATTGCACGGCTTACACAGGTGGGAGTGGACGAGGACCATGTGCATAGCCCAGAGTAGGTGGGTGCAGGTGAGCCTGGCATGTGGTGGATGGGTGGGCGCGGGCAAAAATGTCACAGGGTTTTTCGGGTGGGAGCGGACAAGAATCACACTAGATTTTGCAGGCGCAGGCGGACGTGATTCAGTTGGACGGGGTCGGGCATTACCATTGACTTGTGCAGACCTCTATTTTGTCCTTTGTAGGTTTACAACCGATTGTAGCTTGTAGCAACAGAATTTATCAGTGGTGGTCCCTTTCCTATAATGGACAGGGTATAGAGGGGCTCACCTACAAGCTAGCTGTTTCTGATAAAATGGCCAAAGCCTTCAGGTAGGTGTTTCTAATAATCTGCTGCTGCATTTCAATGTATTAAAACATTAAGGATTAAAGATTAAGTGTAAAGGCTTAAGGAGTCTATGAACTTGCATCCATACTTGAATTCAGATAAGAATAATATCTTCCAATTATAACTGAAGTTTTCTGCATTGCTTTTTAACAAAAAAATACAGCAAAATTAGCTTAACAAACAACTTTAAGGAAATTTTGCTCGAGTTGTTTTGGATGCAGTGGCCAGTGCTATGGCACATTCATCTTCATGTGCTAAGAATGCCAAAAATGTCGGTGAGGAAGGAAGTCGTAACACAAAATGGCCTCTTACTGGTGTCACAGCTGGCTCCGAAATATCCATGACGACAGCGGCATTCATTTGGCCGGACACACACCTCATTCTCCTTGCAGGTGAAATTGCCCTCACAGAGTGCTGTTGGAAAAAAATGTGATGGGAATAAGACTCAACAGACTATTGTTTACTGATAAGTGAATTAATCATTACTAAACAAAGCTTTTTAAAAAGTAAACACGCCTTATAAGAATGTTATCTTAAGCAACAGTTTGTGTAGATAACAATACATTATATAGTGTCAGAAACCAGATAAGCACGTCTAATCAAGATTACTTATCAGGGATTCCAAATTTTTCCTACATTTCTGCACAATTTTGACCAATAACACGCAAATAAGGTCTGGGCGGTTTCAGAATTGTTTACAGTGTGGTGATAGGAACCAGACGTCTGAAGTGCTTAAGGCCACCAAAAGCTCCCTCACAGAAAGTTTATACATGAAATGGTTGTGAATATGCTGCCTGATGACTGAGTCACTGTTTTACAATAGTTTTGTGGATAGATTTTGGCCTAAAACACATTTTTTTAAAAATGTGTTCCGGTCATTCTCCATTTGGAGAGGGAAACCATGTCACAAATGTTGCAGGGCTTAAAAAGGTGCTTATAATATTAGGCACAGATCTATAAATCGGTATGTACACTTACACAGTTGACCTAAGATTAAATAATACTTTCCCCTTTATGATTTCTCTGATTTTTCTTTATTTATCCTGTTTTATATTCATTCTGCATATGTAAAACAGCTCATTACAAAACCAATTTTCAACATTTGAGAAACCATTTTTAATATAAAACAATATTTTTAAGAGGTTTAACTGAGGAATTTGTATAAAACAGCTTCATATTTACTTTTTATATCATTAGTGTTATACTACATTTAAACAAATCATTTGTCACAGAGATTTTGGTCACTGGTGTTATCAGGACCCTTATTTTACATTTTCAGCTCTATTAAACTGCTTCTTTGGGTCGAGGCTCATCAGAGAGGAAGCATCTCAAGGCAGTCCACACTTGCTCACTATATTTCATTAATTTATTAATAATTTTGTTTATCAGGCAGCACATAACTTCTATGTGTCCCTGGTGTTATGTGCTTTAATGGTTGGGTAATCAAAACTTCAAAATAATGCCGTATATCATTTCTGTTACTGATTTACTGAATAGTTGCACAAGGTCACCTGACCAACAATGAGGCAGCCTATTTACAAAATCCTCAATTTTAACCAGAATGTCACTGGAGACACAGTCACTGGTGTTACACCATATTCATGTAACACCAGTGCCTGTAAAATATGTTTGGAAATAAGTTCTCCATTTTGCATATATGATAATAGGAGATGTTAATGGACATATTTACATTATTTAGTTTTGGGATGAAAGAAAATGCTTTTTTAAAAATGTATCCACCTGAATTCCCACTTCAGATGGAGAATGACCCATTCATGGTGGAGAGGCACGTGTTGGGTGTTGTAAAGCTAAATAGTTTCCAAGAACAAACTTTTTTCAGATTTAGCACTATTTTACCATTATCAGCATCACATGAAACCCCTGAAGACACATACGTTCACTGGTGGTTCTGGATAGTAAATATTTGCATTGTAGATATGACCCCTGGTTCCTATCACCAACACTGTAAAGAAATATGGGCAAGTTTCTCTACAACGAGCCGTTTCACATAATGAGGTAGGCATTCATAATGCTAGCTGACAGTGTGTAGGTTTGTTTGTTAGCTTCAGTGCAAAACTAAAGAAGCAAACTTTGGACACCAAACACATCTTTGCTGACAGACTACAACTGAGATAAGAGGATGCTGTGCAAATGTGATTTCTTGCTGAACTATCACGTTAAAGCCACTCTGGGATTTCCACTTCAATACTTTCTCACTGATCCCAGGAAAATGACTGTTCTTGTCTTGCATTCCAAATAAAACCACAGTCAAAATGACAGAACGTTCGATTCCATTGTCTACACAAATAAAACAACGCTCTTAAGAGCATTTATGCATGGTGCTATATGCCAAAATGATGGGAATATGGCTTCTTTCAGCATTTTGGAAGGTTCAGTGTCAGGCCTGCATGTTGCTCTGAAATCCCTGAATGTGGTTTCCATCATAGACCTTTAAAAATAAAGATGCCAAAAAGGGTTCTCTAAAGTGATGCCATGAAGAACCCCTTTCTGGTTCCCTAAACAAGTATTTTAAAGAACAACATTTGTCAATACATGACTGTGAAGAGTCTTTATGAACATTTTCCTAGACATTTCTGCTCAAGCCAAGTGCCTCTTAAAACATTTCTTTTTAAGAGTGTACACATAATGTAAAATATAAACGAAATATATAACGAAAGTGGTTCTTACGTGTTAAACACTCATCTCCTTGCTGTCCCCAACCACTGCAGCACACAAACGTTGGTGTCCTACAGAGAGAGAGCACACGTTAAAGCTTCTATATACATGAACTTCATGCTTAAGCCCCATATTTTACATTTTACAAAGTCTGTGTGGTTTCATGTATCAGAAGAGTCATAATTCATAATTCATTTATTCATGTGACCATTTTCCAATCTCTTTTCATGTCTTAAAATTAAACAGGCCGTTTTTGTTACTGGGCGATTAAAGCAGATATATGTAAATGACCTTTGTTCTGACTGCCTTGTATTGAAGTTGTAAAGTGTTTTAAGCTTGGACTGCTGAAAGACTCTTTACAACTTCAATGTGAACACACACACATTATCTAAGCCACTTATCCTCCTGGGTCGCAGGGTGTGCTGGAGCCTATCCCAGCGGTCATTAGGTGGAAGGCAGGAAACACCCTGGGTAGGCCGCCTGTCCATCACATCACTTGGGACAATTTAGCATGAATTCACCTGACTGCATGTCTTTGGACTGTGGGAGGAAACCCACGCAGACAGGGGGAGAACATGCAAACTCCACGTAGAACCCAGGCCCTTGCTGTGAGATGACAGTGCTACCCACAATGCTTTAGACAAAGTACAGTTCTTATTCACTTTACTGCTAAGAATACACAAACAGGGGATGATGGCATGTTTGACAGCTCAGGTATGTGTACTAGATTAGCTTTCGCTTGGTTGGTAGCTATTGGTCAATAATGTTTTCGAACTTAAACAGAAGGAGACCCTGGGGTACACCTAGTTTTGATAAAGCTGTGTGGGTGGGAGGGGCCACATTAGCCTTGTGCTTGTTGAGGAGAACATGCAAACTCCACACAAAGGGCCCTGGTCGCCCGGCCGGGGAATAGAACCCAGGCCATTCTTGCTAGATTTTATGTGGAAATGCTTTAAAGAAGGTACAGTTCTCATTCACTTTACTGCTGAGGATACACAAACAGGGGATGATGGCATGTTTGACAGCTCAGTGACGTGTACTATATTAGCTTTCGCTTGGTTGCAAGCTTTTGCTGAATAAAGTAAAACCTTTGGGGACATCTAGTTTTGATAAAGCAGTGTGGGTGGAAAGGGCCACATCAGCCTTGTGCTTGTTAAGGGTAAGGCACACCTAAGCTATACCAAAGAATAGAACCCCCCCCAGTTTAATGGACATGGGAATGTTACTCATAAGGCATACTTTGTACATGAACCTTGCGCGCCCACAAGAGCAAAATAAATCTAATTGGAAAGAAAACAATGTTTGACAATGTTTGCATACTTACATTTAGTATGGGAAATTCAGCTTTCCATGATACACTAACCCATGAAATACACTCTTTTAGACATTTCCATTCAGCGGTACACCGAGAGATTTGCCCTCAGTGCTGCTCACAAGCGAACACAGCTCAACGCTAGCATCAGCAGACGCTGCTGTGCCTCTGACCTAAATTCTTTTTGTCCCTGAGTGATCTTAGTGTAGGTCTCATCATTCATGTGGTTCGCACGGAATATTCGAGATGTCTGGGCACCATCTGTAGCGTCTCTCAAACACGACGGCAGATGCTTCGAATAACACCCACATACAATCACACACATAAACACAGATGCTCATAGAGAAGCACATATGCACACACAGTAAACGCCTGTTCCGCTCAGCGCTCTCTTTCGGTTAAGCAGCTGACATGCAAGCTAAACACGCCGTTTGAAGTGACGGCCTTGGGAGATCATGCGACATGGAGCCACAGTGAAAGAGCGGTTCAGAAGAAGGCCACATCCTGATGCGATTACTTCCACCATTTGCCGTCCCAAACCTCGATTCTGAACAGACTGGGTCAAACGAAAAAAGCTAAGAGAGGGTGGTGGAAGATAGAAGCCAGACAAAGCAGCAGACTGGGTGAGGACAGCGATTTCATGAGGAACACTCACACGGAATCATTCAGCCTTTCTTGTTTCATAATTTATCTTGTATTTATGTGGTTGGGCTATCTACCACGGCTACGAGAGGCTGATATGGTCAAAATGAAACATCATATTTGTTTATCGGAGCTGGAAATGGAAAAAAATGCACCAGCAAAACAGCATGTGAAAATTATTAGTATTCAAGATGGCACTGATCCCATAACAGGTTTCGACATTGGGCTGATCTCAGCAGAAAATTCTGGACTGGATATCACAGGGAAAAGAGAGTGAATCCAATCCAGTCCTGTAACATGTACTCTGAAATACCTCATTGCGTGATGTGATGTTGTTAGCTGTGTGTTTCTTTCTGTAGTAGAGTGTTTGAGCATGACTTTTAGATGCTCACCCTAAGTCAGGCATGTCAAACTGGGGAAATTCCAGACCAATGTGCTTCAGAGATTAGCGTTTACCCTCATCTAACACTCTGAATTCCGTTCAGGAAGGCCTTGCTAATTAGCTGATGAGCTGAATCGGATGTGTATAATGATGCAGTGTACTGAAGTTTGCTGTGTTTTGGCCCACCAGGACTCGAGCCTGACACGTGTGCCCTAAGTGAAGGGCTTAAAGTTATTTAATTTTCTTTTATGTCTAAGTTGAAGTTAGTTTACCCTTGTCTAGTCATCTGCTTGGATTGTGACTGCTAATTCTCAGTTACAGTCAGGTCCATAAGTATTTGGACAGTGCTGCAATTTTTGTACTTTTACCTCTAAACACCATCACAAATTGAAATTAAGCAATCAAATGTGCTTGAAGAAGACTTTTAGCTTTAATTCAAGGGGTTTAACAAAAAATCTCATTAGTCATTTAGGAATTACAGCCACTTTTTACCTAGTCTCTCCATTTTCACAGGCTCAAATTTGATTAGACAGTTGTCTAATAAGCAGTCTAGAGTTGATTCCAAGTGTTGTACATGCATGTGGTAGCTGTTGATAGGAACTCTCAACATACAGTCCAAGGAGGTGTAAAACCTCTCAGAGAGATGACCGAAACTTTGAGTGGCCACATTAACAATTTGGTACATTCTTAAAAAGAAGGAATGCACTGGTGAACTCAGCAACACCAAAAGGCCTGGAAGACCATGGACATGGATGATCATAGAATTCTTTCTGTAGTGAAGAGAAACCCCTTCACAACATTCAGTCAAGTCAAGGACATTCTAGAGGAGGTCGACGTCAAAGTCTACAATCAAGAGATGCCTTCATGAATGTAAATACAGAGGTAACACTCAAAAACAGAAAAGCCAGATTAGACTTTGCTAGAAAACGTCTAAAAAAGCCTGTCCAGCTCTGTAACATGATTCCTAGGACAGATGAAACCAAGATTATCTCATACTAGAATAATGGGAAGAGAAGAGTTTGGAGAAGGAAAGGAAGGACTCATGATCTGAAGCATACCACATCTGTCATACATGGTGGAGGTAGTGTTACAGCATGGGCATGTATGGCTGCCAACTGAAATAGGTCACTGGTGTTTATTGATGATGTGACTGCTGATAGAAGCAGCAGGATGAATTCTGAAATGTATAGAGCTATACTTTCTGCTCAGATTCAGTCAAATGCTGCAAAACTGATTGCACACATGGATAATGACCCCAAACACACCACCAAAGCAACCCAAGAGCTTCTCCAGGAAAAGAAATGGAATGTTCTCAAATGGCTGAGTCAGTTTCATGAACTCAACCCAACTGAGCATGCTTTTCACTTACTGATGACAAAACTGAGAAAGATCCACAAACAAGCAGCAGCTGAATGTGGCTTCAGTAAAGGCCAGGCAAAGCATCTCAAGAGAGGAAACTCAGCATTTGGGGACGTCTATGGGTTCCAGACTTCAGGCAGTCACTAACTCCAAAGGATTTGCATCTACGTTTTAAAAATCTCTGTATTTATAATTATTTTAGTTTTCTAATTACGTTTGAGCCTGTGAAAATGGGGATACTAGATAAAATTGGCTATAATTCTAATATGCTAAACCCCTGGAATTAAAACTAAAAGTCTACACTTCAATCACATCTTGACTGCTTCATTTCAAATGTGGGGGTGTACAGATATATGTATATATATATATATATATATATATATATATATATATATATATGTATATATATATATATATATATATATATATATATATATATATATATATATATATATATTCTTTGTCCTTTAGAATTAAACAGACTAATTTTACGATCTTTTTAAACTGTCTCATGTAAATTATTGCTGTTCTGATAGGCTGCTCTGTATTGTGCCTCATTTAAAACAGTAGTCTGGGCTGAAATACTCCTTATAACTTCACTGTGAATGAGCATGGCTAAACCCGCTGTAGGCTGAAGACGTGGATGTATGTAAATGTGTTGGTTTTTGTAACAATTCAAAAACAATTAATTCAGAACGGGCTGCTTCACATCCAGAAATGAATTGCATGGTCTGGCGAATAAACAGTTCGTTTTGAAAGCGCTTATTATTAAAGGAATAATTTCTGCACCCTAATATACTGAATCTCTCCTTTGTACATAAAAAAAATTTCAACAGTTCAAAATATCTACTTTTAAAGCTTAGTAGTTTTTAAAGAAGAAATATCAGATCAGTATCAGCCTGACACTCGAGGTTTCAGTACTGGTATTGGAGAAAAGATATGGGTATCATGCCATCTCTTATTAGTCCTGGGACTAATTTGTAAAAATAAGCTAGATAACAAACTAAACAAACAAAATTTAGCAAATTGTTAAAAATAAATGAATGATATAAGGTAACTAGGGATGCACCAATATGGGAATTCTGGGCTGAAATCCAATATTGTTCATGTACATGTTACTGCTGATGATAAACATCATAAATTGTATAAATTGTGATTTAATCCACCTGCAGCGGCATTATGTAGAAATATTACATTTTTACATCAATCTATCAACCTTTGAAGGTGGCCCTCATTTACAGCATAGCCGAGCCAATACAGAATTAGGGATTGAAAAAATTGGATTGTAACTTATCAAATGCTAAGAAAAAAAATAATAACGTAATAGTACCTTTGATAGTAAAAAAGCAATCAAATCAGAGTAAAAGGTTAAAATT